ACAATTGGTGTGGTGCGTGCCAATCATGTTAAATTCAGCTGCTAGCTTGCTACTTTTTCTTGTGGATTTTATGTGTAATGATTATGATCCAATTGTCCAGGTCCTCATGCGTCGACTCCCAAATCATCGACACTATGCTACTGCTTCCGTTGGAACAACCGCAGAGGTCTTGCACACCTGTTTCTATTGTGATTTTTGTTTCGTTTTGCAGACCAGTTAGCAATTGTTCACCAATCTTTCATTTGGTTGGATGACTTTTAGAGAACAACTGAATCATATGTATGCACTGCCATGTGTCAATCATGTGTCCCCTGGCTAAATATTGTTGATCTTGCGTGCATAAAGCTTCAAGATTACCTCATGCATAGTATGATTATGGACATTAACTTGTTAATAGGCATCTTGCAGGCTTCATTCCCTTTTAGTTATTTAGTCAACATCATAAGTTGCAACAATTTCTTCTTAAAATACCCTGTTCAGCTCAGTTCATATTATTTTTCGTCACGTTATAGATACGTCAACTTGGAAGGTTGGATGATGGTTCATTAAATGTTGTTGCCCGTGGGCAGCAACGATTTCGTCTTAGGAAGCTTTGGATTGATGTTGATCGGGTGGTAAGTCCAAGCGTGTTCTTATTCTTTTGAAATAGGAACATTTTAAGAATATAGCTAACTTCATTTTTCTCTTCCCAATAGGTGTGGGGTGAGGTACAAATTATTGAAGAAGATACTCCCTTGAGAACTCCTAGAGATGCATTTGCTCAGCTAGCTGCATGTAATAGCTTCAATCTGCACGCTTCATCATCAGTCATCAGTTTGGATATGTCTCCTATCAAACAAGACCATATAGATTCAGAACTAGAGTGCGATACTCCATCACCAAACAGTAATATAAGCAACCCTTCATCAATGGACACAAGGTTGTGCTATCTAGGTTCACAGTCAAGTGACTCGATGAAGTCATCCTCAGATGAAGACGGAGATTTGATGCACACGCAGTTTTGGAGGCGGAAGCAACATTCTGTGAGGGAAAGTGGCGCATCAAGTCATTCAGACAAGAAGACCAACATGAGCAATGAGAACGATCTTTGCTTGACGCCTCTCCAATCATTGCCAGTAGCAAAAACAAGAGATGCTAAGCGGCGGCGACAGAACCATGCTTACTCAAAGCAGGCTTCTCAGGCACCATTATCATTTTGGCCTCGGTGGGTATATGAAATGTATGATTCATATACACTTGCTCGCAGCGCTGCAGGTATAGAAATCCAATCTCATCAACCTATTTTGTATGTCTGCAGTTTTGTAAAACTCTTTTCCTGTTACTCTAAGATAAGCGCAAGCTGCCTTAGGTGTCCTTGGAATTTTTGGTCAATTGTTTGAATTACACTGTTGCCTTTGTTGCAGAGTTATGGAGACAGATAATTGCAAACCCAAGCATGGACGATCATGTAAGAAAGCCAGATATTTTGTCATTTCACATTGGAAGCAAACTTCCAGTCTCAGAATCTGTGAGACAAAAACTTCTGGAGATTGATGGAATTTCATATCGCCTACAAAAAGAAATTCAGCTTCTCAAGGCCTTTAATCATATTAAATGCAGACATTGCCAGGTAATGGTCTACTGTATCTGGAAGTGCTATTTTAATGAATGAAGGGCAGGCCTGGTGCAAGCGGTAGAGTCTTACCCCCCTGTGACCGGAAGGTCCCGGGTTCGAGTCGCGGTCTCCTCGCATTGCACAAGCGAGGGTAAGGCTTGCCACTAACACCCTTCCCCAGACCCCGCGCAGAGCGGGAGCTCTCTGCACTAGGTACACCCTTTTTATCCTAACTAATGAACCTTTTAAATGGATTTGCTCTGTAGTTTCCGTAACAAAATGGTATTACAGCTATGATCTTGTTGATTAGCTTTTTAGACCTTTTGGCTGCCCCTTGTCTATTCGTCATAAGGTCTAGTCTAGTTTAAAGTTGGAGGCAGAGGCAATAGGTCTTATCGGTTAGCTGTTGCATGCTCCATGATGATTTAGTGAAAATGACATATAGATCAAGCTGGTTGATACTTCTGGCAAATGTTGACCATCGCCATACTACAAAGTAAAACATACATAATTGAATTTGTGAATTTTTTAGATTACTTTTACCACCCCATTTTGCTGACTTGTTTGTTTCTTCTACAGTCTCGTATAGCAAAACGTAGTGACATGGTGGTGATGTCTACTGATGGGGTTCTTGTTGCCTATGTCAACCCTCATGGTTTTGTCCATGAGACGATTACAGTCAGCAATGCAACTGGGCTAGCTCTCATTGGCAATCCTTCTAAGGTTCACAGCTGGTTTCCTGGGTATGATCTTGTCTCTGTTGTTTGTTGTTTGAATGTTTGTTTTAGTGTCTGGCTTTTTCTGTAGCACAAGTTAAATTATGAAATTAAATTGGACAATGCCACTTGTAACTTTAGTAAGAACTTTTTGCCGTGCAGATACTCGTGGACGATGGCAGCATGCATGTCCTGCGAGTCCCACATAGGCTGGCGATTCAGAGCCACCAAGAAGAATCTGCGGCCTAGGTCATTTTGGGGGATCCGCAGCTCACAAATTGCAGATGACACAGAAGTAGATCAGAGCGACTGATGCTCCAAACGTCCATGTATATAAGGCCATAGTAGCAGTGAACTACTATGCCATGTATGACCTGATGTTCCCAATCCATCTCTTCCTGTCGTCTCTAGTTCATACGCACCACAGTGACTGCCTGCCTTTTATCTCTTGGCATAGTAGTGACGTTTAAGTTCCTTGTAAAATAATCACTTTCTCAGGGGTGTTGTACTGTTGTAGTGCCCTGCACTGAAGGGTTTTACGGAATCCCTTTTTTTTTGTGTCTAAATAAGATATCTGTTTCCATAGTATATGCATGATTTTCAATTGCAGATGTCCCATGGTGTGGCATGGGTGAAGGCCAGTATAGATGGGTTTATCACTTCTAAGAAGATGCATCCCGGATCACACATCAAGGGCCGGTGAGAAAATAGGCCCGACCCAATTTCCATAGGCCTGCAAGGTGAGAAGCTGACTAGCTCGATCTGCACTGTCGCCATTGTTGGTAGATAGGATGATGATGGCACCGTTGAGCCGTTTGAGATGATCGATGTGAAGAGGATTCAAGAAATAATTGAGTCCATGGAGGTGGCGGAGGAGGTGCCTCCAGGGCCTATGATGACTTGTTCTTGAGCCGTGCACCATCACCAATTCTGAGTAATAACTGTTTTAGAAAGTTGAGTTGTGACTCGACCATGCTCTCAAGTCTCAACTTCGTTATGTTCCCTTCTACCAACAGTTACCTGGGTTTGGGCATGGACCGGCTTATTTCTCATGGCAAACGAAATCTTTAGGTACCGAGGATCAGCTCAATGGAATGATTGTCGGCCTGGTTTGATCCAACAAGGTGTCTACCATGGTAGGCTTTGTCTCCTTCAGTTCGCTGCTCAGTATTCAGGTGTACATATATTTCACTCTGCAGACTGTAGTGGCGCTGCAGTGATCGAAAAGAAGGGGGAAAAGCCAAAGCTGCAGCAGCAGGTGCTGTTTTTATGCAGTGAACACCAGGTGTGCTTGTTCACTTTACACTTACGGAGTACGGAGTATCCCGCTAACAGTGGTAGTCCTGAGCTGGGGCCAATGGCACTGGCAATGGCAACAGTATCAGCCTGACAGCCTAGCTAGGTCGCAAGTGTTAGACTGTTTTCAACGGGGCAGGCAAAGGGCGACCAAAACGCAAAATATATCGTGCACAGTGTTTTGCGTCCAAAAACAAGCTTTGAGGACGCATCCGAAGCACCCAGATATCTGGCGAGTCAGAAGGTAAAAAAGGGTCGTCTCTCTCGACGACGCAAAAGCATAGCAGAGAGGGGGAGCTGAGGGGGGATTCGGCGTGAGCTCCGTCCACCCGCGCGCCTCCGCCATGAGAGATACCAAGCCGAGGAGAAGCCAAGCAGCCCCCACCCTCGCCGCCAGGCTGCGGAAGCACTCCGCCTGGCTCCTCCTCCTGCTCGGGTTCGCCCTCTCCCTCGCCCTCTCCCTCTCCGCCACGCCGCCTGCCGCTCCGCCGCTCCTCCTTCCTCCGCTTCAAGCCCCGCGCCCTCCGCCACTGGCACCGGCACCGGCGCAACTGCGGCGCCCCCGTCCGGATCTACGTCTACGACCTCCCCGCCCGCTTCAACCGCGATTGGGCGGCCATCAACGCGCGGTGCGCGCGCCACCTCTTCGCGGTCGAGGTGGCGGTGCTGTCCTTGACCCCCTCTTGCGGCTCACAGAGGGAGATGTTGTAGTAGCTGAAGGGCATCTCGGTGTCGAAGGAGGTGAGCGAGTTCACCTTCAAGTTGAGGTAGTCGCGGGGGTTGTACTTATGCGGGTAGCTCCCCGAGAGGTAAAACCCGCTGGCCTTTAGCGCCGCCGCCAGCAGCAGCGTGGCGCCGCGCCATGCATGAGGAGGAGGAGCGCGGGCCGGGCGGGCCATGGATCTGGATCGGCGGGGGCGCGCGGATTGGGCCCCCGTGGCGTAGGGTCTGGGTGGGTGGGCGGGTTGCTTGTGGGCTCGGCCTGCTCCTCATGAGGAGCTCATGGGAGGAAAGCGAGGAGGGTGTGTCGGTGGTGGCGGAGCAGATCTAGTGGGGGGTGGGGCAAGTGGGGACGAAATGACATGGGGGAGGAAGCGAGGGGCGGTGGTGTGGTTGCTCGGGGTCTATTGGAGAAGACAGAGATTTGGATCCTTGACTTTTTCACTGTATGTGACCTATACTATTGAATGGATATCATGTTTGGATTGTTTCCTGACGGTCTTAGCAGCAGCCCATGCGTATGGCATGGCATATAGCGATTCTAGGTACTGTCATTTTCTTTCTTTTGAGCTAGAACCTATGGAATCACTAGCGGCTGTGCAGAGGCAGCTGACGTTCACGGGTGGCGGCACAAAAGCACGAAGGAGCCAGCGAGCACTGCTGACCAGAGGGGAATGCATCGGATGGGAGGAATTAGAGCAGGACTGCACTTCCGCGCATCGCACTCTATTTTACTGACATGTGACATGCTCAGCACAAAGGTGCTAAAGAGATATCACGATGATGGGCCAACAGAATAAAGTTTAGGAGACGTCACATCGCCTGTCGCATTAAGCGTCACATCGGATGTTTGATATTAATCATGAAACTAATTACAGAAGTCTGACTAATTCACGAGACGAATCTATTAAGTCTAACTAACCCATCATTAGCATATGTTTACTGTAGCACACACTGTCAAATCATGGCCTAATTATGCTTAATAGATTCGTCTCGCAAATTAGTCCCAATCTGTGCAATTAGTTTTATAATTAGTCTATGTTTAATACTCCAGATTAGTGTCAAACATCCGATGTGATAGGAACTAAACTTGAGGAGGGGAAACCAAACACCCCGTGTGAGATCCGACAACTTGACTTGGGGGCGTTTTGCATGATTAGCTTCTACGCCAGAGTCCCAGGTCTTCGTCAGGCCCTTCTCCGGCAAGAGCACACAGGTACGCCCGCTCCTTCTCTTCCCTCCCTGCCGTGCGAAACCGAGCACCCAAAGCCTAACCTAAGCTATTTTGGTTATTTGTAAGAGATCTCTATTTGTAAACGGTTCTGATCTAATCCTTTCCCATGTCAGTATGTCACTCAACACCCCGAGGAGTGAGATAAATCCTTTGCTCCTCCCTATCCCTCATTTCAAACCTTGTGCTCGGATATGTCAGGGATTGAGACCCTGTCATCCATATTACAACAGTTTCACTTCAACGATTTAAATATGCAAGTCTTTTTTAGTGGCATTTGCAGTTCATATTAAGGTCAGACTTGAAGAGTTCACAAAATAGTATATTCCATTAGCTTCACTCCGACATAAACACTTATATTTGAACTGTGCAATAAGTAGAAATGTAAAAGCTTAAACACTTATATTTGAACGGTGCAAGATTATTGCAGCTGCTGGACATAAACAGGACATGCAAAGATTCTGAACAACCTCGGCATATGATCCACCTTTGTTTGAGTAAAGCATGGATTTGTTGGTGATAGGTAGGAGACAAAGTAGAAAAGTCACCGTTGTCACCAGTGCTGCTTCGTCTGTCTACAATATCAAAATTAATAGTCAATCCTTTTGTGTGCTCAAGGGGAAATAAGCACTGGAACTGAAATTATGTTTGTGATACTAACAGACTCAATCTTCTATTCTCCATAGTAATGTAATAACAACAATGGCTGCTTTTAATAAGTTATAAACAAACTTAATGGATCACTGGCACATTATAGAAAAAATAGCATTAGATTAAGAAGTCATATGTTAGAAAAAAAAACACAATACATAAGTGAATGCTGCTGTATCTCGGCCTAAAGCTCCAAGCTAACTGATGCTAACAGTCAATTATTAGGTTTACAATAGTCATGTATGCTGTCAACCAACAAGCGGATCAAAAAATACAAGAGAATTAGCAATAGAGTGAAGAAACCCAAGGATTAAGTATTACTGATTAACTGAAACTGAATGCAATTGTTGTTCAATAATCGACTAAACAATTCTTGGTAAACTACCCTAGCTAAATACCAGCAGGTTGCCAGTAGCAAGTTACATGAATAAGTCAATGAGTGAGATTTATAACTACTGTATACTACCATGATCCTCATTGCAAAAACAAAGCAAAAATTAGGACCAGACAAAAAATTAAAAGAATATGTTGCATAATTACTTCTGCCTAGCTAGTTCATAAACAATTTTCTAAATGTACTGTTAGTTGATAAACATTTGTGCGGACCATCCATTTCGGACCAGATACTTTTCACACCCATTCCATTTCTAGCTGATTAAGTTAAGCAGAAGAAAGGCAGAGGAAGACCGAAGTTGACTTGGGTAAAAGCAATAAAAGGAGACTTGAAAGGATGGAATATACCCAAAGACTTAGCCTTAGATAGGAGTGCTTGGAAAACAGCTATTCACTTGCCTGAACCTTGATTGCTTCTGCTGGGTTTCAACTCTAGCCTACCCCAACTTGTTTGGGACTTAAAGGCTTTGTTGTTGTTGTTGTTAAGTTAAGCAGAAGAAAATCACAACCTTTTGTTTTCAGATTTAGCTAAAACAGCAAGAGATAATAAGGGGAAAGCGACAAGCGCAGGTGCAACATGGCATAGTAAGAGTAGAGATACCTCTAAGCCATTTCATTTCTTAACCATATCAGTGCTGATTCTTGATCCCCATCACAAGCACTCAAAAAAAATTCCCTGTTTTCTGGATTCTTGAAGACCGCATATGCTTTGGCCTTCTCCACCTTTGTCATTTCCAATGGGTTGAGAACAGATATGCACCTCTTGATTGAGAAATCGTTGCCTTGAGAAAACTCCTTTTCTTTTGCTAATTGTGCAGCCTCATCCTCAGCTTGTTTGGTCCTCATGTTAAGATATCTCCATCAGTCCTTCTATGTTACCACTCTTTCTCTGTCTTTTTGGTTCTTTTTCATGGCTGTTTCTTGATGCAACATCAACACTTCTTGGTAGACTTGCAGCTTCTTCCTCTTCAGTTGGCTGCACACTTGCATCAGCTTCTTCTCGTATTATACATACACTGTATTTGCTTTGATGCTATTGTCAGTTAATGTAAAACTCTTTAGCTGCTAGTGGATCATAGTCTGTTCGAGAAGCACACCATGGATTTCATAAATCTTATACCACCTCCATTCAATATTATTTGACATTTCGGACGTCCAAATTGGCCTGTGATTAGTTGTATTTCTCTGTAAGAATGTCAAGTGATAATGACTGGAGGGAATACTGTCATACTATCAGTTGTATTTTGCTGTAAGAAATGGCAAGTGATGATGACCGGAGTGAATACTGTCATACTATCTATCTGTGCAGTCACCTTTCATCTCTAATTCATCAACATCATGTATACTCGTACATCTTGCTGATTTTGTCCACATAATAACAATGTCGTTTGCCTTCATGTCCTGCTGCACAGATCGTGAACCTCTACATCTTAACGATGGCGGGATTCAGAAGCCTTGCGCCCAAGACCAGGAACCTGGTGGTGGCTGGGGGACTGTCTGCCTTCGTGCTTGGGGTCTACTACTACACCATGAGAGCGGTGGGAGGCACGGACGAGCTGCAGGTGGCGATTGACAAGTTTGAGGAGATGAAGAAGAAGGATGCTGCCAGAAACTCCAACGCAGGAGGATCATAAACACGCCCTTCCCTTCTCTGTTTTGAACTTGGATCTGCAGGCTGACATGATACGATAGCCCAAGTTGCTCAATAGGCCAAGACCATGAATGCTTCTACTTGTAATAAGTAATGGATTGTAGTCTTTATCAGATAGAGCTTGGCAGCTTGTGCTTTGAGGAGAGATGTACACTCGAGTGTTTTGGTCCTAGTATAATAGTGGCCGCAATGTCTGAATTTTCCTGATATAACTTGGCGAGACGGAAATTTTGTGGAATAACACGTATTTGCTTGTGTGGTCCCCTTTCTCCAGCTCTCTGTGGCCACGCATTCCATTGCATATTTGCTGCATTGGTAAAGATCATCTCTCTCTGAAGGAAAAGGAATGAACAACCGCTGAATTTCATAACTGGTGGTTCATTTGCAATTGTGCACTCGGACACATGGTGTAACAGGTACTCGGACACCGAAGTGAGTCATGAAAGCCTATTAGTTACAAATTGTAGTTTACTTTAGGATCTATCTATACAACACTTAGGTGTTTTACCGGTTCCGAGTACTCGATTTTTATTTCTTTCACACTTTCTTCCTTATCCCAATGTGCCGCCACCGTCCACCACCCACCCTAGGGTCTTGCCGGAGCTCCACGGTCGTGGAGCTCTGGCGAGACCCTACTGCATCTGTGGTGTTTTCCTCCTCCCTCCTGCCGCCGCCTATGCCGCTGGAACCTAACCGCCACCCTCCCATGTTCCCACCGTCTGCCGTCCTGTCTCCCTCGAGACTCTTCTGAGCCCTAGATTTTTTTTTTTGATAAACCCGCGGGAGAGAAGAAGAGAGGAATAGAAAGAGAAGAGGAAAAAATAAAATACTATAGTATTCCTCTTACTTTAATATATGTCCTAGCAGGGACTGACCCGTGAGATCAAAGTGTACCCTGTTAGTTTACCGCGGGTTTTCTGTGATTTGACCAGCGAGCAATTATACCATAACTGATTCCTCTCTTCGTGTGAGGAAAGATTGAACGCAGCAAAAATATGAGAGGAACAGTGCTACGAACAAATTCGATCACGGGGTGAGAACAATACAGCGTGTCAGAGAGTTACTTCACTTGCCGGCACAGTCTCCGAGACAATTCCAGCACGAGAAATTCTGCGGAGGCAGGCAGGCCAGTGCGGCGCAACTGTACCGTGCGTGTAATAATATCTGTCCGGATGCCATCTTCGCTAATGCGACACGGCGAGCTGAGCCCTCCCCACCCCGGACGCGACCACCTGCATGTGCCACGCGCCCACGCCCCACGCCCACCGGCTGGATGCGCGCGCATGCGCATGCGGCGCAACAAAACCAACCAGCATAACAGCTTCTCTCCCGCCCCACGGCGCGGCTCGTCGTCACTCGTGAGGCGCGTCATTCCGTCCGCCATCCGCGGCGCGCACGCCCGTGATCTCCTTAAATTCGCCCCGACGGCTACGCCCTCCAAATTATAACCCCGGGCTGAATTTTTTTATTTTTTAGCTTTTTTTAAAAAAAAATCACAAATATGTCCCAGGGCTATTATTTCAAAATATGGATCCTTAGCTCGGCGTCATCGTTGATGGCGCCGAACTTACACGTTTAGGCGTCATAGATTCTGACGCCTAGATCAGGGTCACGTTAACGGCGTGGACGATGACATGACATCCAGCTCGGCGCCGAGATCCACGGCGCCGAGCTTATGTTTTAACCCGGCGCCCAACCTTCTTGCCCGAGCCTTCTTCTTCTTCTTTCTCCTCCCTCTCGGGTTTTTTCTCTTCCCACTTCACCCTACCTCACGAATCGGCATATTGGACCTTAAAAACTTTGATTTGATCCGTAGATCTTCGAGAGCAAGGTATCCTCGCCCCCTCCTAGTTTTTTTTTTCAAATCGATTCGGTATATATTGGTCGAATTTTTCAACTTAAGAATCGTTGTTACTTAGGGTTTTATGCAATTTTAATATTTATATTATACAACTGTAGGATGCCAAGGCGTGGAAAAGCTATCAAACCAAGGTAACATCAGTGCACGTTGTTATGTTATGGGTTCATTGTTGTGGATCAAATAGGAAACACTAGATGTAGGATTTAATGTTAATTACTTTCGGTTCTTAAAACGAAAATGACTAAATTATAGTTATAGTCGGATAACCAGAAATGCTTTCAACCCATTGCCTCTGTCTAGTGGTGTTCCAGTGCCTATGTGCTTTTACGGCGATCCTTGCAAGGTAGCCAAGTCCGATGAAGAGGACACGTATAGGCAGAGGTATTGGATGTGTTCTAATTTTGCGTTTGAGCCTACACTTCATCAGCGCCGCATTAACAAGATGGTGAGAAATTGATGTTGTGTAATAATTATTTTATGTCATATGACATCTTGCATGATTTTTCTATTTTGTAATAATTGCATTTGTTGCAGACCCCTCTATCACTCTGTGATTTTAAGCAGTGGATCGACACTGAGATCAAACCTGAAGACAAGAAATGGATGCAGAACAGTTGCGATGGGAGGCAGAGGATAAGAAGATAATGGAGAAGAGACGCGGAGAGTAGGCTGCAAAAAAGGAGCACAAGAAACGGGAGGAAAGGAGGAGTGTTGCTGCGTATAGGGAGGAGGAGGAGAAGCTTGAGCGTGCATGCCGAGCGAAAGCAGCGATGGAGGAGAATCCCGATGCCCTAAAGAAGAGAAAGTGACCTCGTTGCATTTAGTAGTCTCCATTACTTGCTAGTTCTATGCTTTATTTATGAACAATGTTGTCTACTGTTTGACTTTTCATTATGTTGTCATGTAATGCACTTTAAGTATGGGCATGCTTAGGTCATATACTGCGTTATTTAGTTTGTCAGCACGTACTTCTAGTATTATTATGTTGTTTAATGTGTCATAGTATTGGACTTTTTATTATGTAGTTATTTTCATTATTTGTGGTCATAATATTCAGTTTAATACTACAGCCGTAGTGAAATGTGATCACATGCTGCCAACATGTGCGCGAGACCGGCATGGCTTTCGCATGGCAGCCGCAGCATATAAATGACAAAGCGTATGGGCTCGCCCATGTCTTGTGACAGGCGACACGCACGGGGCCGACAACAACGTAGAGGTGCGGCAGATCGGCGTGGGCGTGACGGACGATCGCGGCGACAGCAACAACATCATCACGACACAGGAGTGTCGGCGATCTTGGTAGCGATGGCGGTATACCGGGCCAAATGAAAGGTCCTTGTGTGGTTTTGGTAATTGAGTGACAACCTAGGTGAACTAATTGTGTTTATGTGAGATACACAGGTGATTAGTCCATAGGTACATGTGTGTGAGCAACATATGCCATGAAGGCGAAAATGGCTTGGAGATGTTGCAAAGCTCACACATGTAATGATGAAGGAGCTTATTGCACATGAGACATGACATTGAGTCATGTGATCAAGGTGGAGAAGATCAAGACAAGGCTTGGCTTGATGGACCGGTTGCAAGCGTGAAGGACAAATCGGAGGCTTTGAAGCGATGGACCGCGTGGCGCTGAAGCTTGAGCAAGGCTTAGCGCCGATGGACGAAGGCAATGGTGAAAAGCAAGTGAAGTCAAGATCGATGAATCAATATGATCACGTGATGATATGAAGTGAACCATATCATTGTTGATCATGTTGGTGTATGTGTTGCATCGACATTGGAGGAGATGGAAAGGAATGCGCAAGGCAAAGGTATAACCTAGGCCATTTCATTTATCGGTCATATGTGTGTAGAGAAGTTGATGACCGGGTTTAGGATAGATGACCGTACTATCAAGAGGGGCAAACTTGTTTGCATATCGGTCATCTAGTGCTACTCGAGTGATCTAACTTTACATCGTCGCTAGGATTGAGTGGAGTGGCAAGTTGAGTGGCTAATCCTTTGGAAAATGTTTGTGAAAAGCTAACACACATACACTTGGTGGTGTTGGCACATTTGCAAAGGAGAAGAAGTTGGTGATGAAAACGAGTTAGTCGCGCTGGTCACAGAGTGACCGGACGCGTCTGGTATGGAGATCGGACACGTCCGGTATGTGGCTCGGGACTGAACTGTACAGTGCGACCGGACGCGTCTGGTGTGAACCTACAAAGTCGTTGTTCGGTGAAACAGTTGATCGGACGCTGGCAGCGTCCGGTCCGGAGTGACCAGACGCGTTCGGTCGAGCGTGGGTGCTTACTGGACTCGACCGGACGCTGAGGCTCAGCGTCCGGTCAGTTTCTGACAAACGCGTCCGGTCGGCCCTAGAGGCTTACTGGACTCGACCGGACGCAGCGGCTCAGCGTCCGGTTGTTTCGAACTGTGCGTCCCGTCGGACATGTCGGAGAGCCGTTGGAGGCAACAGTGGGACACGTGGCGGTCTGGCAGCTACCGGACACGTCCGATATAGCGACCGGACACGTCCGGTATTCACGATCGGTGCGTCCGGTCGACCTGAAAAATGCCCAGTGAAGGGGTAACGGCTAGTTTAGCCCATGGGGCTATAAATATAAGTGGTGGTCGGCCTTTGGCCGAGAGCTGAGCACACTAGAGCCTTGGTGGCTTGTGTAGTAGTGCTTGAGAGCCATCTATCTCACACATACTTGATAGTGATCATCCGATTATGTGAGTGAGCGATTCTAGTGCGATTGCATCGTGAGATTGCATCGAGTGGCACTAGGTGATTGAGTTGCAAGCCGGTGGTGCTTGTTACTCTTGGAGGTTGTCACCTCCTAGACGGCTTGGTGGTGGTCTCCGTCGAAGCCCACAAGAAGCTTGTGCGGTGCTCCGGAGAAGAGCTTTGTGAAGGGCATTGTGCTCGCCCCGCGGGAGCCGCGAAGAGCAACTCTAGTAAAGCGTGTCATTGAGCTACCCTCACTTTCAGGGTAGGTTCTTGCGGCGCCCGACGTGCGGGCTTGGCGGGTGATGCCAATTAGCCGTCGAACCACCAAGTGAGCGGTCGACACAACGGGGACTAGCGTGTTGGCAAGCACGTGAACCTCGGGAGAAAAATCATCGTGTCAACCTTGTTCTTCCCGTTGGTTTGCATCCTCGTTACACAAGCTTGTAATTACTTTCATATACATTGTGCTTGTGTAGTTGCTCTTGTAATTAGTTAGCTTGTGTAGTTTACTAGTTACCTTCTTGCTTATGTAGCATAGAAGTAGCTCTCTTGCATGGCTAATTTGGTTTGTGTAACCTTGTTAGTCATATTGCTTAGTTTGTGTAGCTAAGTAATTGCGCTCTCTAATTTGGCATTGGTTGCCTTGTTATTGAGCATTACTACTTTGCGCTTTTGCTTACTAGCTTGTGTAGGAGCTCCCTTGTTGCTTGAAGTACTAGTGGCATAGGTTTGTGTGACCTTGCTTCTAGAATTGGTTGGGTGAGCTCTAGCTAGCCCGGCACCTTTGTTGCTTAATTAGTATCTTTGGAAGGTGCTACAGAATATAGACAGACGGGTGTAGTATTGGCTAGACCGATAGTTTTAATTCCGCACTTGTTTCGGTTAGCCGACGCGATTAATTTTAGAAATGACTATTCACCCCCCTCTAGTCCGCCATCTCGACCTTACACCAGCGGCTCGCTGCGGCCGGCCTCGGCCAAGCCTAGGCGGCTCGACCGGCCAAGCGCGGCGGCATGGTTGACCGCGCGGGACGCGGCCATGTGCGCGGCATGGGAAGGCCACGTGGTGACCGCGCACCCGGCGCCAACCAACCCGAGACAGTGACGCGCACGAATTTTAAAACGCTCAACACGACCAAACGGTTGCTTCTAGACTTAAACCATCTTCACCATGCTCAAGATGGCACGTGAGACTACCAACTCGAGCTATAACACTACACCACACTTTAATCCAATCTCTCACAATAAATTGCTAAACATAGCAATGTCTAACTGTTGGCAGACTTAAAAATTTCTAAGTTTTTGAACTGAATTTGATTTTTATTTGCGATTTCTAAGCTAGTAGAAATATTAGCTAGTAATATCATTTTTCGACCGCAAGTATTTTCCTGTCATCTACAAAGTTTGTACTTCCAACTTTATTAAGGTGGCACATATATGTTTTATAGCATTTTTGCTTAATAAAAATTGGTTTTCAACCTTAAATAATATAACATGACTATTGAATCAACTTTCGTTTCGTATTTTTGTTGATCATTTTGAGTTACAGAAATTGATCTACACACTTTATCACATGTATTAACACATAAACATGATGTTCATAACATGTTTTAGTAAATGATTTACGGTGTAACACCGAGGGTGTTACAATGGTCGTGTCGAAAACGACACTTTCAATAGAACGGATGGAGTAGTTCAATAATGTCCATCAGGTCTTTGATTGCACCCATCGCAAATCGAGTCGGTCTCAATGGCTACCGACAGTTCTGAGCCCCAGCACATCACACAACATCGAGACACCGCAATCTGCGTCACAGAATGACAGAATGGACAAATTCGGGGCGAAAAGCAGAAATCTCATGATGCAAACATGCAAACTCCATCGAGTTTATTTGACCAAAATATAGAGGCAGGCATGGCACAGCACGTCTGCCAGACCACATCACTCTTGTATGCCGGCCTAGCTAGTCGGCAGCAACAGCTTAAGGGCCCAGATTTTGAAGGATGTTACACTCAGTAGAGAATTCCCCCATAGCAAACGGGGAAATTTCTTATTCGTGGCCCGTCGTTACCGCTACCCAAATGGCGTAGTGGAGCACCACTGTCCCCTGCCCTGCACCCTGCAGGTCACCACGCCAACAGGCAACAGCCGTTCCTTACATGCCTCTAGGTCTGGTTGCAGTCACGGCAGGACCGGCTTGTCGCAGCAGCTGCACGCAGGCGAGAATAGCAAGCAAGGTGATGAATGGTATATATGGTTCTCGAGAGATGAAGCTGGGCGTGTGCTGGTTGGTCCAGAATGAATACCTGGAAGTAGGATTCCAGCTTCTGCCTGAGGACTCCATGCTCCCTCTTCAAGTTCTGGAAGGACCTCATACAACTGCGAAAACAAGCAGGTGTATCAGTAACAGTAATTGATGATTAACAAGTCTCGCTCAGAGAGAAAAGTTAGCATCACAGACAAAAGGATAACCAGCCGGTGAAACTGTCAATCGCCAAGAAGGGCTGAACCGTCAAAGCCAATCCAATTGGTCCTAACTGTTAGAAGAAAGAGGAGCAGTAGAGCATGTGTAGCTAGTACGGTTCCACATGACATGGCCAAAGCCATGCAGAAGCAGTGGCGGAGCCAGGATTCTGAAGTTGGGTATTCCCATGTGCGAAAAAAAATCCAATATATGGTAGCTTGGGTTTCAAATATACTAATTTATAGTAGTATTATCACATCACAGAAACAGGTTGTCTACTCAAGCAATTAAATAAAATAGACATTACTTTACCTCCCTCGTGTCATATGGAGAATGCATGGAACTATAACACTAACAGCTGCATTCATAAGAAAGCTTACGGGAAGACCAAACATAAGTAAGTGTTCTTAATAACTTGGACCTATATGTTGCACTGCATAAGGTTATATTAGCATTGCCATGATTTTTGTCAGAAGTAAAAACTGATCACAAACCTGGAGTCCTGCCGTCCTAGGACCTGGGCACCTGGCCAGTGGCTGCCCGGTTGGCCTGGCCGCCGCCGCGGCGCCCCCTGCAGCCCTGCGCCCCTGCCCCTGGCCCCTGCCGCCCGGCCAGCCCCCTGCCACTGGCTTTTGCTACCTTGCGCCCTTGCAGCTTGCGCTGGCCGCGCAAGTCGCGCTCCGCCGGCCGCAGCCCGCTCCTCGCCGCGAGGCGTCCATCGCGTCCCGTCCGTGTCCCGTGTCCGTGCGAGCAGAGGCCGAGGGCCGAGGGGGTGTCGGGGGCTCGGGGTGGGTCAGAGGCTAGGAAGGAAGGGGTGGAGTGCCTGAGTGGGCCTAGTGGGCCGTCCTGGGAAGGAGGAAGTTTGGAGGCAAGGCTGAAAGGCCGTGTTTTTTACTGATTCGGGCTGCAATGAGCGAAAATAGTACAGAATATTGCAATATACATATATATACACAAGTATATACACATATATACATAAAAGTATCTCAAAAAAGTTGGGTATTCCTGGGAATACCAGGGAATACCCTTGGATCCGCCCATGTGCTGAAGCATTGGCTGTATGGGTGCTTTCTGCAAAGTGCCTATGGGTTGGGTGCTCAAGTATCAATGGGAACTATAGCACTTTTACATGCTTTTTTTCAAGGGAGTGGGGAATTTGGCTTGAGCAGTCATCTTAAGATTCACGACCCAAAGTTACCAATTCAAAGCCCAAAAAGAAGAAAATCATTGTGCAAATTACAGACAGAGTGGGAGGGAGAGACCCTTCAGCATTCTCGTCTCCACAGCTATTCCTGAATGAGGTGCACTCGTTCTTCATCCTAGAAGCACCAATGCTGCACCAGTAGTGTTGTGTTAGGCATGAATAGATCATACAAAGACATGAAGTTGTTACAGTGTGAACACATTGTCAAAATGTCTATGTAACCACACATTCACATAATATAAGCTGTGACAGTAATATCACAATATCTTCTATACAACGTTGATATATGCATGAACACAACTTTTAGTTTGTAAGGATGTACATATTTAGGATGGGGCTGATCAAACTGATATTTGCCTTTGCGTTAGCAGATCTCATCAAAACAAAATATGATACACATATTCTGAGCATTGTTACATACCATTTTGCCAGGCTATGCATTTCAAATCAACAAAAAATATTTAAGCGTCCAGGCAAATGTAAGAAGTAACAGATGGGGATGAAGACTTGTTCAGGTTCTTCACCTATCCAAGCTATATAAAGGGTAGAAAAAATTAAGCTGTTTTATAATCCAGTTTAGTTTTGTCTTCCATGTTAGTTTTTTTGCAAAATAAATTAGGTCTGATGATAAATTAGTTGAACACTTGTTAGTATTTGAGAATTAACAGTATAGGTAACACATGAACAAGAACAACAGTACAAAACCTAAACATTATCATTTCCATTTCCAACCAATAAAAACGACCTGGGTATATGTGGCTCTCCTCCACCTGGCAGTGTTTTTCAAATCTAAGTTGGATCAGTTGTTAGAGAAAGTGGCATTTCTCTCCCCCACCAATGAGGTGACCAACATTTATAATGAACTTGCCTAAAGGGCAAACAAGTCCAAACAGCCTCTAAAGTCCATCGTCAATAGTTCTGTCATATAGCCATGCATGATATATGCAGTCAAACAAACACAAAAGCAACTATATGGATAGACCAACCTAGAGCAGCTTCCTTTTAATTGCTGCATGTTTACATCCCATCTACTGAAATCTCTGGGGGTTCTTCTCCCTGCACAGTGTTGTTGTTAGATTACCAACAAAACTTGATGTCACTGAACATGTAAACAGAACAAAGTGTTGTCCTAGTTTATGACATCGCAGCTCTCCTGCGCATTCGAGAAAAAAGACATCGCCAACACTTACATAGCTTGCTCAATATTTGTCATTAGCCTGGTTGAGTTCTTGAAGAACAAGGAAACAACTTCTTCTGTAAAATTAGGGCTTGCTTCATCCTGCAAGTCCTCAATCTGACAAAATTGCTCATCCAAGTATCCCTGTCATTACAATATGGAAATCAGAAAACATTTTAACAGCACATATTAAAGTAAGGTAGATAGCAGAATTTGATAATAAAATCAATGTGGCCGTGAAGACCTTAGCATCAGTTTGCCTAGTGTCCACACTAGTAACATTTAGTGGAATTCTAAATTCTATATAAATGAAGGGCGGGCCTGGTGCAAGCTGTAGAGTCTTACCGCCTGTGACCGGAAGGTCCCGGATTCGAGTCGCGGTCTCCTCGCATTGCACAGGCGAGGGTAAGGCTTGCCACTGACACCCTTCCCCAGACCCCGCACAGGGCGGGAGCTCTCTGCATTGGGTACGCCCTAAATTCTATATAAATAACGTTGACACACTTAATTCAACATTTTTTGTTTCAGGTTCTTAGCTTTTTGTCAACTAATATGAAATGATGCAAACAATTTCCCCAAAAACACTCTATTGCACTCCCTGCTCAATGATGAACAGAAGATATCACAGGGTAACTATAGATAGAAAGGATTGAGAAGTAGAGTTGCATAGCCTCCAAAGTTATTTGTTCCTGTGGTACATAGTATATTGGTAGGTATACTGCAAGACTTGAATAAAAAGGAAACACACCATTGACTGGACCAATGCGAACATAAACCTGATCAAAGAGGTTCTTTTTCAAGGATGCTGCCTGGCGTTGCAAATTAGAATACTCCATTTATAAATGAATGCCTTCAAGGTAGAGTAGGCACAAAATGCATATGCAACTGGTTGGTCACCTTGGTTGTAAAATAGTTGGCCACGAGATCCATTTATATAGACGAGGAGGCTATTGCTATCGTCCACCATGAGTAAAAGGGAAGATATTTCAAAGTATGAACAACAAATATTAGCTTGCCACGTACAGAAGGGATTTTATTGCCAAGGTGTGCAACATCTATCCACATTTTGGACAATGACTTAAACTGCTGTGTATCTGATGCTCCTTTGAGGTGCATGTTGTGCACATTCGGCCTGAAGAAACAATAACTGCTCTTCTTTCAACTAAGCAGACTGATTAGTACACGATCCAAGAAGATTGCCATTTCATTGGTTATCCATAAGCAATCCTCCTGGCCAATGTTTATTATTACTTGTGATGAAAAATTTCTAACATTTCACATGGTCAATAATACATTAGCATCTCAGGTAGCACTCTATTCCTCATCAACTCTAGCTTTCTGCCTTTCACAAACTCTGATGTTTCGTAAGCAGAGTTTTTTTTTCTCAGATATTACTTTAGTTTCTACTTGTTCTATCCTTTTTGTACTGGACAGGTCTTCAATCACTGGAGAACAAGGAGATGCTGGAACTTGAAGCAGAGGTACCGAAAGGGTTGGCACTGCACTTTCACCAGCAGGAAGCAGAACATGGCCAAGAAGTGGCATTGATAACTCTGGATGGTGTTGGAGCTTAGAAGATGAAATCTGTCTTGTGAAGCTGGTTCTGCAATCTGTCGGCGGAGTTTAAGTAGCTGCTATCTCGTCTCTTGTGTTTCTGTCTATGTTTGTGGTAGTCAAAGTGAAGGGAGCTTTTGTTCTGGAAGTTTGCTTGCTGTTGTCATGTGGATGTGTTTGGCCAGAGCCATGTGTGCATCGTTGCAAGCTTGGTATATCATTGGTGGTAGTCATGTGACAAAGAATGTTGGTTGTTATATCTCTGTAATTTCGCTGTTTGTTTGAGTAATGAAATTAGGGGATGCCCATTTGTGGAGAAAAAAACTCTGAGCTGTTGTTCAGAGAGAAATGTAATGGAATAGAGCAATCCTATATTCTAACTACCAAAAGATGTTAATATTCCTCAACTTGAGAAGAAGAATAGATGAACCCCTTTCAAAACAAATTAGTTGGGCATGGATAGCTGAATCAAAATTGAAAGACCCCCCCCCCCGACTTGAGGGCTTTGACTAGCGTCTAGACTCTAGACAGTCTAGATGCATGCCTGGGTAAAACTTCTGTCCAAATCGTTCAAGAACTGAAACCATTAAAGTCAGATTAGAAAAGCAGAAGTAAATCAACCATCGTGGGATGGTGAAGGAAAACAGCAGCATTTGGTCTTGTGCCACTCTTGTGAAGTATCAACTTACCTCTCTAACTGTCTTATGGGTCCATCTAAGTTACCGACAGTGGACGAGGGTGCCAAATTGTATGCTACTCACCCACCCCCTCATGATCTCATCTAGGTTCAATTTACAGTGGTCAGTGGACCACTTTTACACAAAGTCATGTTGCTAGGTCAAGTGTTTGCTACAGATGTGTAAAAGCAAAACAATTATCAGAAAAAGTGTTTACATTATCATATTTCATATGATGATGTCCTTTTAGATTCAAATGATTTGTGTATCTAAGTTTATGAAATATTCTAGCATCTGTAGGGCGACACATTGCTGCAATGAATATGTTGTTTGAACGACATGAGGAGGCTTGAGTTTTTGCCTCCTCAAAGTTCAAGAATAATATTGCTGTAAAATCCAAGACAACGGTGGAGAATTAGAATAGTACCAAGAGATGCCTACTTTTTGCACTGACAAAAAAAGTTGGACAAGGAAAATGACTTCAATAGTTTCTTTCAGCAGTTATGAACCATAAATATCTCAGATCACTAGAGACTGGACCACATAGCAGAAGGGGTAAACAGATTCAGTCAAAGATCGGTCCGGCGAGTGCCCTTCACACCTCCAATCATCTTCACATCTTGATAAGAGAATCTGTCGTGGAGTGAAACAACCAGAAAGCCTACTGATGGAACAGATCAAAAAAGCAAATTCTAGTAGATCAAATTCATGACAATGAACGTTGAAATGAACGGACAAAATTGTCTGAATGCAAATTAAGCAGTTGCAACCGTCTCTGAATGATAAATCTGTTCATAAAAGATCCTATAAAATGTTTTCACTATACAACCCGACAGTGATATCACTTTCCCTTTATCAATGGAACATTCTCATGACAACATTCTTACAATAGTGTACCAACCTCAACATACAATAGGTAATGAAATATCTCGGTAGAAATTGCATGAGCAAACAATAGTAGTTTTTCCAAATTGTAAGTCATTCTGGTTTTTCTAGTTACATAGCTTTTGCTATGCACCTAGATATACACTATGTCTAGATACTTCGTAAAAGCTATGTATCTAAAAAGGCCAGAACAGCTTACTAATTGGAATGGAGGGAGTTATATTTTTTTACATCACACTAAAGATTTGAAAAGTGCAACATCCATCTGCGGTGTTTCTAAAAAAACACAGCAGCAAAACCATTATGATACATGCTTACACCAATGCTTCGTATCTATACCTAGAAATAGATGAAATATAGTGGCTTGATTTCGAGTATGTAACATGTCATTTGTGGTGTGATCTGATATGAAACGTATGATTAATCATAATAAATGTGATAATAGTATCATGGTCATCATACTGAAATATTGACACCATTTGGTAAACTGGTAATTGCTTGCTACCTATTGTACGTTAAAATAATAATCAGTCCAGTATCCACCCTTTGAGATAGTGCTCAGTTTTTCTTTTGTTCATTTCAGTTTTCTGAATATTTTAAGAGAATGGTTTTCCTGGACGTTTGGGCATTTCTTGAAGTGTTAAGTGTTATACACACTTCATATAAGATTTTACTTGATGCATCCAATGAGCAGGATCGAGTTCGGAACGATGATATACGTGATAGATTAGGGGTAGCACCAATTGAAGAAAAGTTTGTCCAACACCGGTTGAGATGGTTTGGACATGTGAAACGGAGACCTCCAGAGGCACCGGTGCGTAGTGGAATCCTAAGCCAGGATAGTAACGTGAAGAGAGGCAGAGGAAGACCGAAGTTGACTTGGGTAGAGGCAATAAAAGGAGACTTGAAAGAATGGAATATATCCAAAGACTTAGCCTTAGATAGGAGTGCTTGGAAGACAGCTATTCACGTGCCTGAACCTTGATTGCTTCTGCTGGGTTTCAACTCTAGCCTACCCCAACTTGTTTGGGACTTAAAGGCTTTGTTGTTGTTGTTGTTGATCCAATGAGCAGGATATCATAGATGGTGGACCACTGTCATATGATGAGAATACGAGATTCTCTGATCGTGGCCTGAAGCACCATATACATGGAGCACATGGCATACATATCCTCTTGCGTACGTGTAACGAGTCTATCCTCTATCTATAGCAAATTAGCAATGGCTTCTACCAGCTGAAGATTATATGTATTTAGCATGCCCTTCATAGGACTATAGCAGGTTAGCAGCCACAAATGCAACTTCCCGTAACTTAAACATCATCACTTAGTGCGAATGTATGGCATAAGCTTTTTACAGTTGAGGATTGGCACCACCCTCCAAAATGGCAAAAATCTCTAGTCTGTTTTGCCTTTGGGAGATCCTTGGATTTTTTCGTATATATGTTCAATTGCCTTTTGAAACTAAGATTTCAATCCTACAGCCTAATTGAATCTGCAGGCATACTAATAAATGGTGTATGTTCCACAGACAAGGAGTATTGTATCAAGCAATTGTATCGCTTAGTCAGAACTCAGAACCATCCATGTCCAATCATCATCATAAGGAGCTACATAGCACACAAGTTGAGAATTTATTCAGCGATGCACACAGCGTGCCTCTAGTGGCATTGCAAGGCTAGGCTGATGTTCTATTTAACTGAAAAAAACACAAACGAATATCCAAGTTGGGCAATCTTGTCGCGTTGGTATTGGCAATGTGTGTCGAGTGAATACACTACCTCTTTTTAGGTATCTTGATTCCTTGGTTGATGTGAAGGCACACAGCAACACATACACATTCCCTCGAGCCACTGGTGACATCCATATTGGGGGGCAAAGCGGCAGCGATGGCTACACAGGCCGCACATGACTTGGACCGGGGCCTCCAGTAACCTCCATAAACGACTGGTCCCCGATTCGCCGAGCAACCCGGCCGTCACCTGCTCAGTTCATTACGGATCAGCGTGGAGCCGTGGACGCAACCTAGCACCGGAATCTCGAAAAAATAATCGCACAAATGCTTGGGAAAAGAAAATAGAACATGGTTGAAGTTAACCTAACACAAACCGACAGGAGCACGGGTGAGAGAGTGCACGTCCTCCTTCCAGGAGAGGAGGAGATGGGAAGGCGAAGCGCGCGGAGGAGTGTACCAGCTTGAGGCGTTAGGCCGCCGGCTCGACGGCGGCGAGTGGACGCCGCGCGTGTGATTATGTAGCAGCGGATGGGAGCCGCGGCGGAGGACAGCTGGGCCGCAATTTGATTTTCCGAGAGGAGACGGGCCACAGAATCGGGCTGCCGGGATAGGACGAGTGATGGTTGAGCCGTAGAGACGTGGGCCTGATGCTAGAGGGAAAAGTGGGCCGCCACCGCCATACAGCCCAACATAAAGGCGAAGAGACGAACCGAAGAATCGTCCTTATCTCGCCTGCGTTTCTAGCGGTGGTGTGGTGTCTCTCGTCTCCGTCCTCGGCACCGGCGGCGTGATGGCGGACTGGGAGGGGATCCCGGCGCGGGAGCGGCGGCAGATGGAGGAGATCCTGCAGCTCGACATGGAGGATCTCAACGTCGAGGTCGTCGACGACAACGAAGAGGACGAGGAGGAAGTGGAGGGTGACGGCAGCGACGAGGACGACGACGTCGATGCCTTCCTCAGGTGACTCGAAGGCCACGAGGCCACCGCACAACCCTTCCTTCCTTCAACTCCATTTGTGTATTTTACCCTCATCTTCCTTCTCCAACATAGGGGCCCCACTGTGCTGCTCTGTGTGCATTTTCCCTTTGTCGTATGGATACTACATAGGCAGATTCAAAAAATTTCGTACAGTACCCGTCACATCGAATCTTACGGCACGAATACTAAATGTAGACGAAAAAAAACTAATTGCATAGTTGGGTGAGAAATCGCGTGACGAAACTTTTGAACCTGATTAGTCCATAATTAGACATTAATTGTCAAATACAAATGAAAGTGCTACAGTGGCCAAAATCAAAAAAAAAATTTCTAAACGGGGCCTTACCCATTTTTTTCCTGTACATTTGGTTTACCAAAGGTCTACCCAGTGCAGTTAATGTTCCGCAACATTTCAAGGTGCTAATCTGGAGGCTGTGGTCGGGGATTGTTAAGCTTATGAAGATCTTAAGCGCCCCAAATTCAGCCTTGAAGAACTAGTGTATTTTCTAGGATGAGGAGTTGGGGATTTCAGCTTGAAGGAACAACTCTGGAAAGCCGGGGGCTGGGGCAGTGTTAACTCTTGATCACTTTGTGATTATTTATTCATTCTTGCAGTGCTTTGTGTTTTGTTTCAATTGGATCATGATCAAGTGTGCTGACCGCTGAAAATTGCAGTGTAGCTTAGAGCAATGCTAATTCTTGCCTTACATTTTTTGTGCTTATTCACTTCATTCTTATATACAGAGATTGGTGCCTTTGGATACCACCTGCAAGCTTTTTCAGAGTATTTTCGAGATGTTTATCCGAATTCGTTTAACCATTTGAATGTTTCTATTTATCAGAGATAACAATGGGGATGGAGTGGCTAGCACCTCTGGGCCATTCACATTCAATACATCTCTAGCCTCATTGCACACCTACCTTGGTGGTAAATGTGCTACCTAGTCTTAACATATTTATCATGCCGACTGCAAACTGTGAAGTTCTCTTTTTATATCACTCAGAGGTTGACGATACTCAGGGTAGAGTTACTCTCTTAGATGGTGGCACAGTCCTCAACTTACCAATGTTTTATCTTCAAGGTAATGACTGATTGTAGTATTCTCTTTCCTACATTCTTTCTTTTGATCATCTTGTCAATCTTTATAATTTTTTTTTTAATAATGGTCAATCTTTATATTAAGGGAGGTAAGTACACTTGCTCCAATTCCACCATACTTTCATTTATCATATTTTTTTATCTGCTCTTCTAAGTTGCAGTTTGCATTTGGCTTTTTACATTATTTTCATCCAAGCTGGCTGGATATAATTTTTCCATATAGTTACTGGTACTATTTGTGGGTATGTGGAAATTTGTCTTGTTTTGTAGTAGTATTATTGTGTCAGAAACGTATTCATAAAGAAAATATAAGATGTGCAAAATTCAACATGCTCATGCATGGTGCCCAATAGGAACATCCAGAAGGATTAGGGTTTCTCTTGATAATCAAGAATGTTTTGCGATTTATACTAGTTATGTTTGGTCCTTGAATGGATATGGATATCGGTTATGTGAAAAAACTTCGCCTTAGCTGCAAAGCCTGTGCATTAGAGATGAGACACACACCCACCGATCTTTCACTTGACTATGCAGAACTATACATTAACAGATTGTACCATAATTTAAAACTGTCAGCTTTCATAAACAGTGTATCAAAAAATAATGGTCCTATGCATTTTGGTTTTGCAGGTGTTGTTCTATTTCCTGGAGCTACCCTGCCTCTCAGAGTAATTGAGGATAGATTAGCAGTAACTATCGACAAAGCTTTGAGGCTGGTCGATGCTCCATGCACAATTGGTGTGGTGCGTGCCAATCATGTTAAATTCAGCTGCTAGCTTGCTACTTTTTCTTGTGGATTTTATGTGTAGTGATTATGATCCAATTGTCCAGGTCCTCATGCGTCGACTCCCAAATCATCGACACTATGCTACTGCTTCCGTTGGAACAACCGCAGAGGTCTTGCACACCTGTTTCTATTGCGATTTTTGTTTCGTTTTGCAGACCAGTTAGCAATTGTTCACCAATCTTTCATTTGGTTGGATGACTTTTAGAGAACAACTGAATCATATGTATGCACTGCCATGTGTCAATCGTGTGTCCCCTGGCTAAATATTGTTGATCTTGCGTGCATAAAGCTTCAAGATTACCTCATGCATAGTATGATTATGGACATTAACATGTTAATAGGCATCTTGCGGGCTTCATTCCCTTTTAGTTATTTAGTCAACATCATAAGTTGCAACAATTTCTTCTTAAAATACCCTGTTCAGCTCAGTTCATATTATTTTTCGTCACGTTATAGATACGTCAACTTGGAAGGTTGGATGATGGTTCATTAAATGTTGTTGCCCGTGGGCAGCAACGATTTCGTCTTAGGAAGCATTGGATTGATGTTGATCGGGTGGTAAGTCCAAGCGTGTTCTTATTCTTTTGAAATAGGAACATTTTAAGAATATAGCTAACTTCATTTTTCTCTTCTCAATAGGTGTGGGGTGAGGTACAAATTATTGAAGAAGATACTCCCTTGAGAACTCCTAGAGATGCATTTGCTCAGCTAGCTGCATGTAATAGCTTCAATCTGCACGCTTCATCATCAGTCATCAGTTTGGATATGTCTCCTATCAAACAAGACCATATAGATTCAGAACTAGAGTGCGATACTCCATCACCAAACAGTAATATAAGCAAACCTTCATCAATGGACACAAGGTTGTGCTATCTAGGTTCACAGTCAAGTGACTCGATGAAGTCATCCTCAGATGAAGACGGAGATTTGATGCACACGCAGTTTTGGAGGCGGAAGCAACATTCTGTGAGGGAAAGTGGCGCATCAAGTCATTCAGACAAGAAGACCAACATGAGCAATGAGAACGATCTTTGCTTGACGCCTCTCCAATCATTGCCAGTAGCAAAAACAAGAGATGCTAAGTGGCGGCGACAGAACCATGCTTACTCAAAGCAGGCTTCTCAGGCACCATTATCATTTTGGCCTCGGTGGGTATATGAAATGTATGATTCATATACACTTGCTCGCAGCGCTGCAGGTATAGAAATCCAATCTCATCAACCTATTTTGTATGTCTGCAGTTTTGTAAAACTCTTTTCCTGTTACTCTAAGATGAGCGCAAGCTGCCTTAGGTGTCCTTGGAATTTTTGGTCAATTGTTTGAATTACACTGTTGCCTTCGTTGCAGAGTTATGGAGACAGATAATTGCAAACCCAAGCATGGACGATCATGTAAGAAAGCCAGATATTTTGTCATTTCACATTGGAAGCAAACTTCCAGTCTCAGAATCTGTGAGACAAAAACTTCTGGAGATTGATGGAATTTCATATCGCCTACAAAAAGAAATTCAGCTTCTCAAGGCCTTTAATCATATTAAATGCAGAAATTGCCAGGTAATGGTCTACTGTATCTGGAAGTGCTATTTTAATGAATGAAGGGCAGGCCTGGTGCAAGCGGTAGAGTCTTACCCCCCTGTGACCGGAAGGTCCCGGGTTCGAGTCGCGGTCTCCTCGCATTGCACAGGCGAGGGTAAGGCTTGCCACTAACACCCTTCCCCAGACCCCGCGCAGAGCGGGAGCTCTCTGCACTAGGTACACCCTTTTTATCCTAACTAATGAACCTTTTAAATGGATTTGCTCTGTAGTTTCCGTAACAAAATGGTATTACAGCTATGATCTTGTTGATTAGCTTTTTAGACCTTTTGGCTGCCCCTTGTCTATTCGTCATAAGGTCTAGTCTAGTTTAAAGTTGGAGGCAGAGGCAATAGGTCTTATCGGTTAGCTGTTGCATGCTCCATGATGATTTAGTGAAAATGACATATAGATCAAGCTGGTTGATACTTATGGCAAATGTTGACCATCGCCATACTACAAAGTAAAACATACATAATTGAATCTGTGAATTTTTTAGATTACTTTTACCACCCCATTTTGTTGACTTGTTTGTTTCTTCTACAGTCTCGTATAGCAAAACGTAGTGACATGGTGGTGATGTCTACTGATGGGGTTCTTGGTGCCTATGTCAACCCTCATGGTTTTGTCCATGAGACGATTACAGTCAGCAATGCAACTGGGCTAGCTCTCATTGGCAATCCGTCTAAGGTTCACAGCTGGTTTCCTGGGTATGATCTTGTCTCTGTTGTTTGTTGTTTGAATGTTTGTTTTAGTGTCTGGCTTTTTCTGTAGCACAAGTTAAATTATGAAATTAAATTGGACAATGCCACTTGTAACTTTAGTAAGAACTTCTTTTTGCCGTGCAGATACTCGTGGACGATGGCAGCATGCATGTCCTGCGAGTCCCACATAGGCTGGCGATTCAGAGCCACCAAGAAGAATCTGCGGCCTAGGTCATTTTGGGGGATCCGCAGCTCACAAATTGCAGATGACACAGAAGTAGATCAGAGCGACTGATGCTCCAAACGTCCATGCATATAAGGCCATAGTAGCAGTGAACTACTATGCCATGTATGACCTGATGTTCCCAATCCATCTCTTCCTGTCGTCTCTAGTTCATACGCACCACAGTGACTGCCTGCCTTTCATCTCTTGGCATAGTAGTGACGTTTAAGTTCCTTGTAAAATAATCACTTTCTCAGGGGTGTTGTACTGTTGTAGTGCCCTGCACTGAAGGGTTTTACAGAATCCCTTTTTTTTGTCTAAATAAGATATCTGTTTCCATAGTATATGCATGATTTTCAATTGCAGATGTCCCATGGTGTGGCATGGGTGAAGGCCAGTATAGATGGGTTTATCACTTCTAAGAAGATGCATCCCGGATCACACATCAAGGGCCGGTGAGAAAATAGGCCCGACCCAATTTCCCTAGGCCTGCAAGGTGAGAAGCTGACTAGCTCGATCTGCACTGTCGCCATTGTTGGTAGATAGGATGATGATGGCACCATTGAGCCGTTTGAGATGATCGATGTGAAGAGGATTCAAGAAATAATTGAGTCCATGGAGGTGGCGGAGGAGGTGCCTCCAGGGCCTATGATGACTTGTTCTTGAGCCGTGCACCATCACCAATTCTGAGTAATAACTGTTTTAGAAAGTTGAGTTGTGACTCGACCATGCTCTCAAGTCTCAACTTCGTTATGTTCCCTTCTACCAACAGTTACCTGGGTTTGGGCATGGACCGGCTTATTTCTCATGGCAAACGAAATCTTTAGGTACCGAGGATCAGCTCAATGGAATGATTGTCGGCCTGGTTTGATCCAACAAGGTGTCTACCATGGTAGGCTTTGTCTCCTTCAGTTCGCTGCTCAGTATTCAGGTGTACATATATTTCACTCTGCAGAACTGTAGTGGCGCTGCAGTGATCGAAAAGAAGGGGGAAAAGCCAAAGCTGCAGCAGCAGGTGCTGTTTTTATGCAGTGAACACCAGGTGTGCTTGTTCACTTTACACTTACGGAGTAGTACGGAGTATCCCGCTAACAGTGGTAGTCCTGGGGCCAATGGCACTGGCAATGGCAACAGTATCAGCCTGACAGCCTAGCTAGGTCGCAAGTGTTAGACTGTTTTCAACAGGGCAGGCAAAGGGCGACCAAAATACAAAATATATCGTGCACAGTGTTTTGCGTCCAAAAACAAGCTTTGAGGACGCATCCGAAGCACCCATTTTGGATATCTGGCGAGTCGGAAGGTAAAAAAGGGTCGTCTCTCTCGACGACGCAAAAGCATAGCAGAGAGGGGGAGCTGAGGGGGGATTCGGCGTGAGCTCCGTCCACCCGCGCGCCTCCGCCATGAGAGATCCCAAGCGGAGGAGAAGCCAAGCAGCCCCCACCCTCGCCGCCAGTCGCGGAAGCACTCCGCTGGCTCCTCCTCCTGCTGGGTTCGCCTCTCCCTCGCCCTCTTCCTCTCGCCACGCCGCTTGCCCGCTCACGCCTCCTCCTTCCCTCCGCTTCAAGCCCAAGCCCGCGCCGCCCACCGGCACCAGCAATCGCGCAAGCTACTGGCGCCCGTCCCGGATCTCGTCTCACGACCTCCCGCCCCCGCTTCAACCGCGACTGGCGGCCATCGATCGATCGCGTGGTGCGCGTGCCACCTCTTCGTGGCCGAGGTGGCGGTGCTGTCCTTGACCCCCTCTTGCGGCTCGCAGAGGGAGAGGCTGTAGTAGCTGAAAGGCATCTCGGTGTCGAAGGAGGTGAGCGAGTTCACCTTCAAGTTGAGGTAGTCGCGGCCTCGCGGGGGTTGTACTTGTGCGGGTAGCTCCCCGAGAGGTAGAACCCTTGGCCTTTAGTAGCATGCGCCACAGCAGCAGCGTGGCCGCCCATGACGGCGAGGAGGAGGAGGAGGCTTGCTGGGCGGGCCATGGATCTGGATCGGTGGGGCGGCGGGCGTTGGGCCCCATGCAGAGGGGTCTGGGGTGGGTGGGCGGGTCGGTTGTGGGGCTCGGCCCTGCTCCGACGAGGAGCTCGCCGGAGGAAGGCGAGGAGGGGGTGTCGATGGTGGCGGAGCAGATCTAGTGGGGGGTGGGGCAAGTGGGGACGAAATGACATGGGGGAGGAAGCGGGGGGCGGTGGTGTGGTTGCTCGGGGTTTATTGGAGAAGACAGAGATTTGGGTCCTTGACTTTTTCACTATATGTGACCTATACTATTGAATGGATATCATGTTTGGATTGTTTCTGTTGGAGACGATCTTAGCAGCAGCCCATGCGTATGGCATGGCATATAGCGATTCTAGGTATTGTCCTTTTCTTTCTTTTGAGCTAGAACCTATGGAATCACTAGCGGCTGTGCAGAGGCAGCTGACGTTCACGGGTGGCGGCACAAAAGCACGAAGGAGCCAGCGAGCACTGCTGACCGGAGGGGAATGCATCGGATGGGAGGAATTAGAGCAGGACTGCACTTCCGCGCATCGCACTCTATTTTACTGACATGTGACATGCTCAGCACAAAGGTGCTAAAGAGATATCACGATGATGGGCCAACAGAATAAAGTTTAGGAGACGTCACATCGCCTGTTGCATTAAGCGTCATATCGGATGTTTGATACTAATCATGAAACTAATTACAAAAGTCTGACTAATTCACGAGACGAATCTATTAAGTCTAATTAACCCATCATTATCATATGTGTTTCTGTAGCGCACAATGTCAAATCATGGACTACTTATGCTTAATATATTCGTCTCGTAAATTAGTCCCAATCTGTGCAATTAGTTTTATAATTAGTCTATGTTTAATACTCTAGATTAGTGTCAAACATCCGATGTGATAGGAACTAAACTTGAGGAGGAGAAACCAAACACCCCGTGTGAGATCCGACAACTTGACTTGGGGGCGTTTTGCATGATTAGCTTCTACTGATGCTAATGCTCCATGCTAACATAAATTCTTCAGTTTATTCGACTTTACTGTGGCATGGTAGAGAAAAAAAACGTGCTGTCACACTAGATATCTAATTGTTGGGAAGACATTCTAAGGGAGAGCCTATCTATCTTGATTATTGGAAGTTTTTGTATATGTGGTGCTCTAGCATGTCTTGCTCATCCGGCGAACAACCACTGATCACACCGTCCGCTTGGCGTGCAGTGATGCGGGGACTAACACTAACCCATGCCACATGAGTCCACCCGTGAAAACAAGCGCCTCTTTAGTTTTCAGGTTTTCTGTAATTTGACCCGTGATCGTTGAGTTGCCTAGTGAACAATTATGAGGTGCTTGTTCTAGGCAAGGTTGTGCTAGGAGAACCGATTTGGCTCGCCTAGACAGGCAGGAAAATCTTGTCAGCAGGAAGCCAGGAACCGAGGTTGGATAGCCAGACGTCCAAACGTGCTGTCCCTAGCTTGACTAGGCGATACGATGCTTGGCAAAGGATAAGCGCGCCCTATGGTAGTCAATAGCTCCCTTCTCATAAGAAAGAATGAACACACCAAAATACAAGAGGATCAGTGCTCCGAACAAATCCAATGCGCATATCGGAATCCATACATCATCCTTATTTAAGACAAAAATATTCCTGGTTTACAAGGAAATTGTCCCGTGCTCAAAAGGAAATCATTTATAGCCGGAGAATGTGTTATATTTTTAAGAAAAAAAGATATTCTAGCCTCGCAAAAAATACTTTAGGTTCATGAGATCGACTTATCCGTATATTGGACCAAAATGTACTAGGATTAGCAGAAAATTGTTCCATATTCAAAAGAAAATGTTTTAGGCTTACAAAAACAATTGGTCCATATTTAGAATAGAAATGTTCCGGGTTTACAGGAACAATTGCTCCATATTTACGATAAAAAAACTTCTAGATTCACGAAAAATGTGTTCCATGTTCAAAAGAAAAAGGTTATAGGTTGAAGAAAAGTGTTCTAGCTGCGTTAGAAAAATATATTCTATTCTAGTTTTTGTGAAAATTGTTTCATGTTCAAAGAGAAGTGTTTGTAACATCACGAAGAAAAAAAAGTGCCACCTTAATAAAATATAATTTTTCATTTTGCTCATTTGCAATGTTCCTATATATTATTATTATATAGTTTCTCTAATTTTTAAAACCAATTACAATTTACAAACCAGGAAGAATAAAAACAAAAGGTAAAAAAAATAAGGAACAAGGAACGGCCCATGCCCCAGGAGGCCAGGAGAAGGCCCGTGCGGGTGCGCTTGCTCCACGCCTCCACCCCGGCCGCCGTTCTCCCCTCCCCGCGTGCTCTCTCTCTCTCTGTGGACGACTCGGGCACTCGGCTACCGCCGCCGCCCTACGCCAGAATCCCAGGTCTTCGTCAGGCCCTTCTCCGGCAAGAGCACACAGGTACGCCCGCTCCTTCTCTTCCCTCCCTGCCGTGCGAAACCGAGCACCCAAAGCCTAACCTAAGCTATTTTGGTTATTTGTAAGAGATCTCTATTTGTAAACGGTTCTGATCTAATCCTTTCCCATGTCAGTATGTCACTCAACAACCCCCCTTTTTGGGTGGGGTGAGAGAGGAGGAAATAAATCCTTTGCTCCTCCCTATCCCTCATTTCAAACCTTGTGCTCGGATATGGCAGGGATTGAGACCCTGTCATCCATATTACAACAGTTTCACTTCAACGATTTAAATATGCAAGTCTTTTTTAGTGGCATTTGCAGTTCATATTAAGGTCAGACTTGAAGAGTTCACAAAATAGTATATTACATTAGCTTCACTCCGACATAAACACTTATATTTGAACTGTGCAATAAGTAGAAATGTAAAAGCTTAAACACTTATATTTGAACGGTGCAAAGATTATTGCAGCTGCTGGACATAAACAGGACATGCAAAGATTCTGAACAACCTCGGCATATGATCCACCTTTGTTTGAGTAAAGCATGGATTTGTTGGTGATAGGTAGGAGACAAAGTAGAAAAGTCACCGTTGTCACCAGTGCTGCTTCGTCTGTCTACAATATCAAAATTAATTTTGTGTGCTCAAGGGGAAATAAGCACTGTAACTGAAATTATGTTTGTGATACTAACAGACTCAATCTTCTATTCTCCATAGTAATGTAATAACAACAATGGCTGCTTTTAATAAGTTATAAACAAACTTAATGGATCACTGGCACATTATAGAAAAAAATAGCATTAGATTAAGAAGTCATATGTTAGAAAGAAAAAAAAAACACAATACATAAGTGAATGCTGCTGTATCTCGGCCTAAAGCTCCAAGCTAACTGATGCTAACAGTCAATTATTAGGTTTACAATAGTCATGTATGCTGTCAACCAACAAGCGGATCAAAAAATACAAGAGAATTAGCAATAGAGTGAAGAAACCGAAGGATTAAGTATTACTGATTAACTGAAACTGAATGCAATTGTTGTTCAATAATCGACTAAACAATTCTTGGTAAACTACCCTAGCTAAATACCAGCAGGTTGCCAGTAGCAAGTTACATGAATAAGTCAATGAGTGAGATTTATAACTACTGTATACTACCATGATCCTCATTGCAAAAACAAAGCAAAAATTAGGACCAGACAAAAAATGAAAAGAATATGTTGCATAATTACTTCTGCCTAGCTAGTTCATAAACAATTTTCTAAATGTACTGTTAGTTGATAAACATTTGTGCGGACCATCCATTTCGGACCAGATACTTTTCACACCCATTCCATTTCTAGCAGATTAAGTTAAGCAGAAGAAAGGCAGAGGAAGACCGAAGTTGACTTGGGTAGAAGCAATAAAAGGAGACTTGAAAGGATGGAATATACCCAAAGACTTGGCCTTAGATAGGAGTGCTTGGAAAACAGCTATTCACTTGCCTGAACCTTGATTGCTTCTGCTGGGTTTCAACTCTAGCCTACCCCAACTTGTTTAGGACTTAAAGGCTTTGTTGTTGTTGTTGTTAAGTTAAGCAGAAGAAAATCACAACCTTTTGTTTTCAGATTTAGCTAAAACAGCAAGAGATAATAAGGGGAAAGCGACAAGCGCAGGTGCAACATGGCATAGTAAGAATAGAGATACCTCTAAGCCATTTCATTTCTTAACCATATCAGTGCTGATTCTTGATCCCCATCACAAGCACTCAAAAAAAAATTCCCTGTTTTCTGGATTCTTGAAGACCTCATATGCTTTGGCCTTCTCCACCTTTGTCATTTCCAATGGGTTGAGAACAGATATGCACCTCTTGATTGAGAAATCGTTGCCTTGAGAAAACTCCTTTTCTTTTGCTAATTGTGCAGCCTCATCCTCAGCTTGTTTGGTCCTCATGTTAAGATATCTCCATCAGTCCTATGTTACCACTCTTTCTCTGTCTTTTTGGTTCTTTTTCATGGCTGTTTCTTGATGCAACATCAACACTTCTTGGTAGACTTGCAGCTTCTTCCTCTTCAGTTGGCTGCACACTTGCATCAGCTTCTTCTCGTATTATACATACACTGTATTTGCTTTGATGCTATTGTCGGTTAATGTAAAACTCTTTAGCTGCTAGTGGATCATAGTCTGTTCGAGAAGCACACCATGGATTTCATAAATCTTATACCACCTCCATTCAATATTATTTGACATTTCGGACGTCCAAATTGGCCTGTGATTAGTTGTATTTCTCTGTAAGAATGTCAAGTGATAATGACTGGAGGGAATACTGTCATACTATCAGTTGTATTTTGCTGTAAGAAATGGCAAGTGATGATGACCGGAGTGAATACTGTCATACTATCTATCTGTGCAGTCACCTTTCATCTCTAATTCATCAACATCATGTATACTCGTACATCTTGCTGATTTTGTCCACATAATAACAATGTCGTTTGCCTTCATGTCCTGCTGCACAGATCGTGAACCTCTACATCTTAACGATGGCGGGATTCAGAAGCCTTGCGCCCAAGACCAGGAACCTGGTGGTGGCTGGGGGACTGTCTGCCTTCGTGCTTGGGGTCTACTACTACACCATGAGAGCGGTGGGAGGCACGGACGAGCTGCAGGTGGCGATTGACAAGTTTGAGGAGATGAAGAAGAAGGATGCTGCCAGAAACTCCAACGCAGGAGGATCATAAACACGCCCTTCCCTTCTCTGTTTTGAACTTGGATCTGCAGGCTGACATGATACGATAGCCCAAGTTGCTCAATAGGCCAAGACCATGAATGCTTCTACTTGTAATAAGTAATGGATTGTAGTCTTTATCAGATAGAGCTTGACAGCTTGTGCTTTGAGGAGAGATGTACACTCGAGTGTTTTGGTCCTAGTATAATAGTGGCCGCAATGTCTGAATTTTCCTGATATAACTTGGCGAGACGGGAATTTTGTGGAATAACACGTATTTGCTTGTGTGGTCCCCTTTCTCCAGCTCTCTGTGGCCACGCATTCCATTGCATATTTGCTGCATTGGTAAAGATCAGCTCTCTCTGAAGGAAAAGGAATGAACAACCGCTGAATTTCATAACTGGTGGTTCATTTGCAATTGTGCACTCGGACACATGGTGTAACAGGTACTCGGACACCGAAGTGAGTCATGAAAGCCTATTAGTTACAAATTGTAGTTTACTTTAGGATCTGTTTATACAACACTATGGTGTTTTACCGGTTCAAGTACTCGATTTTTTTTTCTTTCACACTTTCTTCCTTGTCCCAACGTGCCGCCGCCGTCCACCATCCCACCTAGGGTCTTGCCGGAGCTCCGCGGCTGTTGAGCTTCGGCGAGACCCTACTGCATCTGTGGCGTTTCCCTCCCGCCGCCGCCTATGATGCTGGAACCTAACCGCCACCTTCCCACGCTCCCACCGTCTACCGTCCTATCTCCCTTAGACTCTTCTAAGCCCTAGATTTTTTTTTGATAAACCCGCAGGAGAGAAGAAGAGAGGAATAGAAAGTGTTTAGGAAAAAATACTATAGTATTCCTCTTACTTTAATATATGTCCTGGCAGGGACTAACCCGTGAAACCAAAGTGTACCCTGTTAGTTTACCGAGGGTTTTCTGTGATTTGACCAGCGAGCAATTATACCATAACTGATTCCTCTCTTCGTGCGAGGAAAGATTGAACGCAGCAAAAATACAAGAGGAACAGTGCTACGAACAAATTCGATCACGGGGTGAGAACGATACAGCGTGTCGAGAGTTACTTCACTTGCCGCACGATCTCCGAGACAATTCCAAAGACGAGAAATTCTCGGAGGCAAGGCAGCGAGCCACCAAACCGCACTGCATGCATGTAATATCTGTCCGGATGCCATCTTCGCTAATGCGACACGGCGAGCCGAGCCCTCCCACCCCGGACGCGACCACCACGCATGTGCCACGCTACCACGCGCCCACGCCCATACGGTATTTGATCGCTGGGCATATATGTAGCCCCCGACCCCGATAATGGCCACAAGCCCGCCTTTTGGCCTGGCCCGACCTTCTTCGTGCCCATGCCGGCCGACCGGGTAGTAGCAGTCGTGCTACTAATCGCGGGCGGACGCCCAACCAAAAAAGGAGGCACGGAGCCGCCCCGCTTAGCTCAAGCATGCGCGGCACTCTCTCATTCTCTCACCGCTCCCACAAACCCTAATCCCCATTCCCGCCTCACTCTCACCAGCCTCTCACCACGCCTCTCTCTCTCATATCTCTCTCACTCTATCCATCCTACCCCGCCAATTTGGCGGAGGAGGATCCTCACCTCCGCTCAAGCGCTCACCTCGACAGATCCGGCGTCATGCGTCAACCTCCGCGTGGCAAGGGGCTCCTTACCTCCACGCGGTCGCGCCTAGAGCGCCTTGCCGCGCCGTTCGTGGCCTACCCTACGAGAACTTCTTTGCGGCGTGGCGAGTCCAGGTCTTGAGTGCGGCGGATCCGCCACGACCCTCTTCCTCGTCTTCACCCCACGCCTCGAAGCCGGGCGACCCGTAATAATCTCTCTGGAACAATGAAGCAGCCACTACACCGCGAACGGCGCCTACCATGCCAACATCCAGCGGCTCGCCGCCACGCCCCCACGAAACGCCTCCTCGTCCGAAGCTCTTCGCACGACCACCATCGGCGAGGTCCCGTCCCGACACCATCTGGCGCTCGCGCTTTCTGCGCCGATGGCGACACCGACTCCTCCTGCCTCGTCCGCTACTCTGACCAGAACTTCCTCTCCACCCCCTTCTCTTCTCGCCGGATTCAGCGTCGAGCGCCGCCACCGCCTCCCGCCTCTCTCAACCAGCGTCGCCCCTTCGCCACCCGCGCCCGTTCTGGAGGCGACGACGACGCCTCCGTTCCCCTCTCATCGGGCTGCTGGGCCGGCACGGCCTGCTAAGACGCTAGGGCTTTTCAGGCTGGTCCGACCTGAAAAATGGCCCGATAGGCCGTGCCTGGGCCGTTGGCCAGGCCCGGTGCCCGGTTCGACACGGCCCGAGAGGCACGACGTGCCGTGCCGGCCCGACCACCATCGGCCCGTGCCTGGCACGGGCCCGTGCCGTGCCGGGCCGGGCCGACCCGATGGACATCTATACGTGCGCATGCGCATGCGGCGCAACAAAACCAACCAACATAATAGCTTCTCTCCCGCCCCCAGCGCGGCTCGTCGTCACTCGTGAGCCGCGTCACTCCGTCCGCCGTCCGCGACGCGCACGCCCGTGATCTCCTTAAATTCGCCCCGACGGCTACGCCCTCCAGATTATAACCCCGGGCTGAATTTTTTATTTTTAGCCTTTTTTTTGAAAAAAAATTCACAAATATATTAGTCGGGGCCACGTTGACGACGTGAACGCTAACATGACAGCCAGCTCGGCGCCGTGGATCTTGACGTCAAGCTCGACGCCATGGATCTTGGCGTCGAGATTGGCGCCGTGATTATTGGCGCCGAGCTTGACGTCGAGATCCACCATGCCGAGCTTGTGTTTTAACCCGGCGTCCAACCTTCCTACCTGAGCCTTTTTCCTCTTCTTTTTCCTTCATCTCGGGTTTTTTTTCTCTCCCCACTTCGTCCTACCTCACGAATCGGCATATTGGACCTTGAAAACTTTGATTTGATCCGTAGATCTTTGAGAGTAAGGTATCCTCGCTCATTCCTATATTTTTTTTCAAATCGATTCGGTATATATTAGTCGGATTTTTCAACTTAACAATCATCGTTACTTAGGGTTTCATGCAATTTTAATATTTATATTATACAACTGTATGATGCCAAGACGTGGAAAAGCTACCAAACCAAGGTAACGTCAGTGCATGTTGTTATGTTATGGGTTTGTTATTGTGGATCAAATAAAAAACCCTAGGTGTAGGGTTTAATGTTAATTACTTTATGTTTTTAGAACAAAAATGGCTAAATTATAGTTATGGCCGAATGACCGAAAATGCCTTCGACCCATTGTCTCTGCCTAGTGGTGTTCCAGTGCCTATGTGTTTTTACGACGATCCTTACGAGGTAGCCAAGTCCGATGAACAGGACACGTATAGGCAGAGGTATTGGATGTGTTCCAATTTTGCGTTTGAGCCTACACTTCATCAGCGCCGCATTAATAAGATGGTGATGAATTGATGTTGTGTAATAATTATTTTGTGTCATATGACATCTTGCATGATTTTTCTGTTTTGTAACAATTGCATTTGTTGCAGACCCCTCCACTGCTCTGTGATTTTGAGCAGTGGATCGACACTGAGAACAAGCCTGGAGATAAGGAATGGATGCAGAACTGTTGCAATGGGAGGCAGAGGATAAGGAGATGATGAAGAAGAGACGCGAAGAGGAGGCTGCAAAAAAAGAGCACAAGGAACAGGAGGAATGAAGGCGTGCTGCTGCGTACAGGGAGGAGAGGGAGAAGAAGCTTGAGCGTGCACACCGAGCGAAAGCAGCGATGGAGGAGAATCCTAATGCCCTGAGAAAGGGAAAGTTGCCTCGTTGCACTCAGTAGTCTCCATTACTTGCTAGTTCTATGGTTTATTCATAAACAATGTTGTCTACTGTTGGACTTTTCATTGTGTTATCATGTAATGCACTTTAAGTATAGGCATGCTTAGGTCATGTACTGCGTTATTTAGTTTGTCGGCACGTACTTCTAGTATTATTGTATTGCTTAATGTGTCATAGTATTTGACTTTTTATTATGTAGTTATTTTTATTATTTATGATCATAATATTCAGTTTAATTTTGTGGACATAGTGAAATATGATCACGTGCTGCAAACGAAACCTAACGAAGTAGGGCATTATATAATTCAACACACAAAACACATGAAATGGCATGTGAGACCATATACCGAACTAGGGTACAGAGGTCCTGAACTAAACCTAACATGTCTTACGTAATTCAAGCGAACAATAAGCACAAGAAACACATGGATGTGCCATGTGAATAAGATATGGTCGTCCTAATAGTGTGGCCACATAACAAATTATGTTGCACTTTCTCCACAGTAGCTTCCCATTGTTGGTAGTGGTGGGGGTGACGGTGGAGACCCCTTGTTCTTGTGATTAGGGCAGGCGCAATATGGATCATTACAGAGTGCCTCCTGTGAACTTGCACCATTGTTGTTGTCGTCGTCTTCGTCTTCCTTATACCCGCTGCTAACTTCCCTTTGTAGATCGAAGATTTGGTCCTGCATGTAGTAGATATACTGTTGATGTGGATAAATTGGTCGAGGATCGACCCATCTAGTGAACCCACAGTTTTCTTCGGACTCGGAAGACTACAATAAATATGTCCTGTGAGCTGTAAGGGTATTCAAGAAACATATTTAACAAACGAAATATAATAGCAATTACCCATGCTCACGAGCATTTGAAGAAGCGATGACCTCTATCGACCCCCTCGGTGAACATCTGCACTAAGCAGTCCTCACCACGCATGCATTTTGGCCAATCTTCCTTTCTATTATCGTATCATCTGAGAGGGCACTCTTTAGTGAAATCACTCTTGCTCTCGGGGGAAACTGATACACTGGTTCCTCAAAGAAATCAGGCCCAATAGACCTCTCCCACACAATGGCAGTTCTCTTTGTCTCCCCCTTTCCTCTCCCATTTCCAAAAACCCTTTTCTCTAGATGACCCTCCAGACATTCCTACTCCAATGAAATCGAATACTAGTTTGGTT